TCTCTCCCCCCCTCTCATTCTTGTCTAGTTCCCAGAAGCCTCTTGGAGTTCACTCCATGTCCTCTAACATGACTGTAGCGGACTTTGATGGCTTCCTTGCTCTTTAGGTATCAAGATTTTTCTGGGCTCATCTTCGATTTCTCTGCTTGAAACTTCCAGCAACCCCTTCTCCTACACCTGCTCTTCTGGTTCAGTGAAGAACGGGCCTTCAGAGCCCATACCTAGCCACCTCGATTTTAGCTTCAGGACTCCTCAGTTTGGAGTCTCCATTAATTAGAGAAACTACTGAAATCCACCCCAAGACCAGCATTTCAGTGTAATCCTAAGGCAGGTTCATTCTACCTAACTCATTCATTCCTCTCTACTTAATGCAGTGCTAAGTCCCTTCCAGGCATTAGCTCAGGGGCCCAGGGCCATTCTGGTTCCTAATCCTGGAAGTGTGGGGGGAATGTGGGAAATTCAAAACTCTTTCTCCGCTATTGGCTCTTGCTGAGCCTCTGTCCCTCATAGTCACTTTCAAGGTTTTCTTTTACATTTTAGGTTTGAGGTCCTCAGCTTCAACATCTCAGCCAAGTTGTCAGACTTCTGCATTTCCTGTCCCATTCTTTTTGTTGGTTTGTTTGTTTTTCTCTGATTTTTACGAAGCTCGTCTCTTTAAAACATTGCTAAATAACACGAGTTTAAGCCAAACCACACAAAGCGTGTAGGCGGAGGAAGCAAAAAGTCTGCCTTTCTGCTCTGGGCCAGATATTCTAAGTGTTTCTAGACTGTATACACCATACCCTCCAGCTCTCTCCAGGCCAGCTTTTTTGACAACTGGGCCAAGTATCAGGATCTGTTCTGGCCTGAAGGGACTAACTTCCATATCCATCAGCATAATGGTCATAATCTTCAGTAGAGACTCTCCAAACTAGAGAATTTTAGACATAAAACAGGACCTTTATCCTCTGTCCCTTATTATTTATTTATTTATTTATTTATTTATTTATTTATTTATTTATTTATTTATTCATTCATTCATTCATTCATTCATTCATTCATTCATTTATTTGAGACAGAGTTTTTCTGTGTAGCTTTTGGTGCCTGTCCTGGATCTTGCTTTGTAGACCAGGCTGGCCTCAAACTGCTAGAGATCCTCCTGGCTCTGCTTCCTGAGTGCTGGGATTAAAGGCATGCGCCACCACCGCCCGGCCTCTGTCCCTTATGTTAAGGGCCCATGCCAGAGCTGCACTGTGATCTCAGGATCTGTAGGACCATGGCCATCATGGCTGCTTCAGCTCTTGTCTTGGCCCTGGTGCATACTGCAGGCCTCATGAGTTTCTGTTCAACAGAGTGGGAATTTGTCCATATAACTCTGTTATGTAGAGCCTCATTGGGCATCAGGCCAATCCAGAAGATGGAAGGGAAATTTCAGAGACAGGTGGGACCTCATGAGAAAGGCATAACTTCAGAGGAATTATGAATGAAGACCCTTCTGACTCAGTATGTGTCTTTTTTTTTTTTTTTTTTTTTGACATTTTCATGCTCTTAATCTTCAACGAAATGGTAAGAACATTTTGCTGAGTTTTGGGAACATTGTTTTGACATCATCTTAATAATGAGCCATTTGCTATTTAGCTTGAAAAACAACCAACTAATTGGTCTAATTTCTAATTCCCAGTCATCTTCTCACCCATCTTTGAGTTTTCGTGGAAGGGCAGTGATGGGGGGGGGGGGGAGAAGCAGGTCATTCCTGGGCTGAGATTGTCCAGAGTTTAGAAATGGGTGGATTAAGAAAATACGAGCCACTGTCTTTATATTTGGATCTGTGGGAAGCCCCCTGATGAGATGTCTGTGTTAGTGCCTACTTCTACCACAGCAAAAGGGAAGGACAAGCATCCTCTCTTTAGGTAGAAACTTGACAGCGAACTTTCATAACTCTAGTTTGTCAATTCAATTCAATAAACTGAATTCCTTTTTTTAATATTCAGATTTAAAAATATTATTTGGTGTGTATGAGTGGTTTGGCTGCATGTATGTCTATGTACAAATGCATGGCTGCAGCCTGCAGAGGCCAAAAGAAGGTGTCAGATCCTTTAAAAATATAATTACAGGTGGTTGTGAACTGCCAAGTGGGTGCTGGGAACTGAACCTGGGTCCCGTGGAAGAGCAGCCAGTGCTCTTAACCATTGAGCATCTCTCAGCCTCTAGCTACGTATTCTTTATCTGAAATTCTGGGGGTCAGAAGTGATTTAGTTTTGAAATATTTGCATATATAATGATACATTTGGAACTGGCACCTGCATCTAAATATAGGTTCATGTTTCATATTCACTTTATACACATAGCCTGGAGGCAATTTTGCTTTGCTTATTTATTTATTTATTTATTTATTTATTTATTTATTTATTGCTTTTTACCTACATTTTAAATTTTCCCCTTTTGACCTCAAGCTGACGTTCCACCAGTTTATGATTTTGGATTTTCATAATGAGATGCCTAACTTGTGATACTTACAATGGAATATGTACTATACCAGATCTGGTGTCACCAAAGAAATGCACATTAAGATGATCCAGGAGATAAAGGATTTGGGCCCAGATCTTACAGGCTGCACACATTGATTAGGTTTCTCCGGCTTTACTCTGGGCATGGTAGTGCTTGCCAGTAATCCCAGCACTTGAGAAGCTGTAACAGGAGGATCATTAGTTTGAAGCCAGCCTAGGCTTCATGAGATTCTGCCTCAAACCGCTTGTCTCAATCCCCGAAAAAGTAATAAAAAGCCAAGAGGTCATGAAGAATGTCCTTATGCGTGGCTACCTGGTACGCACTAATCATGTTCTGACCTTGGCCCTGATTCACATTCTGTTTATCATATTTGTTTCAGACATAAACATTGCACTTCAAGATTGGGGTGCTTGAGCAGAAATTGGCGAGTTGTAACAGGCCTGAGAGATATGAAGACAGTCAAGGAGACACACTGTGTCTCTAAACCTGACCATCAGACTATGGACCCCAAAGAGATAGGAATCTCATGTTGGGAGAAGGAAAGAGCCCCCACCAGAGTGGGAACTTGTCTCTCGGGAAGAGATTTCACTCATGCGTCACACAACTTTACTGGGGCAGTGGGTGGGAACCACACCCCTTGGGTGGAAACTGCTTAGATGCTTGGCTCTCCACTTGAAGTTCAGTCTCACCTCAAGACTCCTAAGAAGGATTTGGGGGAGTCACTCTCTGTCCCTCTCCCCAATGTGTCCACATTGAATAAATCTCCTTTTCCTGCTTTCTACTTAAGGAGAAACATTTCTTGGGCTTCAGAATATTATCCTACACCAGAATCTGGGCATGAGATGGGACTGCATTTTCAAAGATGATAAGAATTTGCCTGGCCGTGGATGTGGGTTCCCCTAAATACTATCTCCCACATAGAAGAGTATCTTGAAATCACTTTCTTTGTGAATTTTCTTCTACCTTCCAAACCTGAAAAATATCTGAACAGAAGAGCAAAACTCGGATCCTTGTAAACATGTTCTTTTCTATCATTTAGGGACATCTTCAGTTTCTGGGTGGGCATACCTTTACCTTGTAAATCATCGTCAGTTGAAATGTTGGACTTACTTTAATAACAAAGTTTTCATTAAAACTGTGTGTGTGTGTGTGTGTGTGTGTGTGTGTGTGTGTGTGTGTGTTGCCTGTAGAGGCCAGAAGGGGGCATTGGATCTCCTGGAACTGAAGTTACAGCCAGTTGTAAGTCACCTGACAGGGAAGATCAGAACCCTGGGAAGAGTGGCCCCCGTTCCTAACTGCAGAGCCATCTCTCCAGGACGAAAAAAATCTTCCTTGTAACTTTATAAGATTTTATAGTCCATCAAGCCAGAGGATCAAGGTTTATGCACTGTCCTGGAACAAAGGAGATTTTTATGCTGACTTTAGTCTACATGGAAAAAGTCTTAATATTTTCAAAATACATTTAAGAGGTAGTTCAGAAACCACATGTTTATAGCAGCCATGCTAGGTTTGTGTTAACTAAAAATGGCATGCCAAAAAAAAAAAAAAAATGGTGTTTGTATCCTGGCTGCTTCCTGAGTTGGTGTCCCATAAATTGATGGCCATGTGGTCCCCAACCAGTTATTTATTCTTCATTTTGATTAGGGCAGAGTCTGCATTCTTAGTTTTGTTTTTGGTGTTTGTTTGTTTGTTTGTTTGTTTGGGTTTGTTTTGTTTTTTTGAGACAAGGTTTCTCTATGTAACAGGTCTGGCTGTCCCAGAACTCTCTTTGTTGACCAGGCTGGCCTTGAACTCTCAGAGATCTGCCTGCCTCTGCCTCCCAAATGCTGGGATTAGAGGCGTGGACCACCACTGGCCAGCAAGTCTGCATTCTTTAGTATTCTGTTTTATAGGCTCAACTATACATTCATCTCTCCTCATTAACCTGATTGATTATGGTCCTGAAAATAAAATTCATAGCATAAGAAATGAAAGAGATTAGCTGGGCATGGTGACCCATGCCTTTAATTCCAGCACTTGGAAAGCAGAGGCAGACAGATCTTCATGAATTTGAGGCCAGCCTGGTCAACAGAGTGATATCCAAGACAGCCAGGGGGGTTTACTTGAGGAGGTTTTTAACTCTACCAAAAAAAAAATAAATAAATAAACAAAAACAAGAGAAAAATATTTTTCTCTTGTTAACTTTGGCAGCTATTAGAGATTGAGGTTATCTTAACTGAAGACAGTATATATAAGTCTTTACCATTTTATAGCACTCAACCATTGGATGGTGGATGATACAACTCCGAGGACGGTCACTTCCATTTTTTTTCTGAATTGTCTTACCATGTCTTAAATTTATATCCATTTAAAAGGAGAGGCATAGTTGTTTATAAAAATGTTGGTATTAAGTACTATCAAGACAGTTCCACAGTTAAGAACACTTGTGATTGCCAATGACCTGGGTTCTGTTCTCAAACTGGCTCAAAACTGACAGCTCCGAGAGGTCCTGTGTCCTCTATTGGCCTCTGTGGGTACTGCACGCATGTTGTGCATGTACCCACACTTACATATCCATATAAAAAAACAAGAATTGTTGGTTCAGATGCCTGAAGTCATTTTGTTAATGACAAAGGAGAAACATGAGCTTAAGATAATAGATTTAATGACAAAAGCTATAAAAGTTAAAGGAGAAAGTACAGTGGATGAGGAATTGGTGGTTGGAGTGGACAGTCTGGAATGAGGTCATGAGAGTTGTCTTAGGCAGCTGACTCACCTGTCACCACACCTGTCCTAACATGACAATGTTGCCACATTGAACACTGTGATTCCAGATGACTCTGGGACTCAAGCTAGGTACAGACTCATCTAATGGAGTTTCGGTATGTAATTATTAATCCTTACATTGATTGAAAGTGCTAATTATAAAGTTATGGCAGCATCTTTATTTTCAATATATGCTTTTTTTCTTTTTCTCATATAATATATCCTGATTATAGTTTCTCCTCCATATATTTCTCTTAGTTTCTCCCCACTTCCCATCCAATAGGAATCCAACCTGTTTAAAAATGTTGGGATATTTTTTAACTCTTTTTTTCTTTGACTCTTTTTGGGGGGCCCACCCCCCAGCTCCCAAATAAATCCACATACGGAGACTTATTATTACATATAAATGCCCGGCCTTAGCCTGACTTGTCTCTAGCCAGCTTTTCTTAACTTAAATTATCCCATTTATCTTTTGCTTCTGGGCTTTTACCTTTCTCTATTTCTGTATATCTTTCTTTCCTTCTTATTCTGTGTCTGGCTGTGTAGCTGGGTGGCTGGCCCCTTCTTTTCTTGCTCCTTCCTTGATTTTTTTCCTCCCATATTTCTCCCATATATTCTCTCCACTTGCCAGCCCTGCCTATCCTTTCTCCTGCCTAGCTATCAGGCATTTAGCTCTTTATTAGACCAATCAGGTGTTTTAGAGAGGCAAAGTAACACAGCTTCACAGAGTTAAACAAATGCAACATAAAAGAATGCAACACATCTTTGCATCATCAAAGCAAATGTTCCACAGCATAAACGAATGTAACATCTTAAAATAATGTTCTATAATGCAACCCCTTTCTGTCTTATTAGAAAACAAATGGGCTTCTAAGAGATTAATTAATATGATAGGATAGACTAAAAACTGGTACATCTGAATAGGACAAAACAAATAGAAGAAAAAGACCCCAAGAAAAGGCACAAGAAACAGACACAGAGACCCACTTGTTTGCACACTCAGGAATCCCATAAAAACACAAAACTGTAAACTAAAATATACACAGAGGACCTATAGGGTAAAACACAGGGGCAGAGAGGTGGCTGACACATTATGAGACAAAGAACCTCCAAAGGTGCCACTGAGTTTCTTTCCTGTTGGCCATCTACTGCTGGGCCTGTGGCCTACCCCTAAGAGTGGTTTGTTTCCCCATTGAGCCTCCCTTGGAGAAAACTAATTTTTCGTTTGCCAGTGGTTATCAATTGAAGATAGATTCAGGGTTAGGGATGGGGGTGTGTGGTCACTTCTTTCAGCTCTAGGACCCCATCTGGTGCAGACTCATGAGGCTCTATGGATGCTGCCTCAGTCTTGGTGAGTTCGTATGTGTGTCCATCTTGTTGACTTGAAGGCCCTTGTTTCCTTGGTGTCCTCCATCCCCTCTGGCTCTTACACTCTTTCTGCCTCCTCTTCTGCGGAGTTCCCTGAACCCTGAGAGGAGGGCTTTGATGGAGACATCCCATTTAGTGCTGAGTGTTCCAAGATCTCTCGTTTTCTGTGTAATGTCTGGCGTGGGTCTCCATATTTGTGCCCTTCTGCTGCTGAACAAGGCATTGATCTATGAGTAAAGCAGAATGTTCTTAGGAGGCATTTTATTGCTATGCTCTTTTAGCAGAACAGCAGATTGATTTTTATGTGGCCCCTGGGATATCAAGTCTCAGGTTGTTGGTCACCCAAGCAGTGTCTGGTATGGGTTCCATCTGGTGGGAATGGGCCTTAAGTCAGATCAGCTATTGGTTGGCTTCTCCCTCAAACTTTGTGCCACCATCACACTAGCATACCTTACAGCCAGGACCCCATTGATAGATCAAAGGTTTTGTAGCTGGGTTGGTGTTTACCTTTTTCCTTTGGTAGTGTGCAGAGTGCCTTCCTGTACCAAAGATACTAGCATGTAGGGGTGAAGGCTCGATGTAGGACCAGCTCTGCTTCTCCATGTTCAATGACTTGTGTAGTTGTCGCCTTCAACAACAGAGCCCCTTGTCACCAGTTTGTGGAGAGCAACCTGCAGTCTTGGCAACAGTCTGGGTTGTTTGGGGATTCCCATGGAACCCCTTTGACCAACAACACAATTCAGTGTAAGCCAATTCCGGTACCAGAAGCTTCATTTGACTATAAGAGGCATCCAGTTGGGCTCTCTCTCCCCTATTATTTTGCTATTTCATTTAGATTGCCTTCATATATGTATATATTTTTGGAAGCTTCTACTATATTAGGTTTTCATCCTTTGCCTCAAAAGTCTGTTACTTTTAGCTGTTTATCCCTGTATTCACTTTCTTCACTCCCCTCTTCCATTCTCTCTCTCTCTCTCTCTCTTTGGTTTTTCGAGACAGGGTTTCTCTGTGTAGCTTTGCACCTTTCCTGGATCTCGCTCTGTAGACCAGGCTGGCCTCGAACTCACAGAGATCCACCTGCCTCTGCCTCCCAAGTGCTGGGATTAAAGGCGTGTGCCATCACCGCCCGGCTACCCCCTCTTCCATTCTCATCCCCACTTGACCTTCCCATTCCAATATGGATCTTCCATTCATAACTGTCTGTTCTATTTCCTTTTCCTGGGGAGAGTTCTCTGTCCCCTACTAGTCCCTTACTCTATGACTAACCTGTGTGATTCTATGGATTGTAGCTTGCTTACCATTGACTCAATAGCTAATATCCACTTATAAACCAATACATACCACATTTGTCTTTCTGGGTTACTTCACTAAAGATAATTTTTTTCTAGTTCCATCCATTTGCCTGCAAATTTTATAATTTCATTTTTTTAAATGGCTGAGTAGTAAATAACCCATTGGGTAAATGTACCACATTTTCATTATCCATTTATTTGTTGAGGGACCTCTGGGTTGTTCTCAATTTCTGGCTATCACTACTAGAGCAGCAATGAACATGGATAAGTAAGAGACTCCGTGGTAGGATGAAATGTCCTTTGGGTACATGCCCAGGAGTGGTATAGCTGGATCTTCAGGTAGATCAGTCTCCATGTTCCTGAGGAACCATCACACTTCTTTTCATAGTTTCTGTACAAGTTTGTGGTCCTAACAGCAGTGTATGAGTGTTCCCCTTACTCCATGTCCTTGCCAGAGTGAGCTGTCATTTGTTTTATTGATCTTAGCCATTCTGATAGGTGTTAAGACTCAGGGATTGGATTTGGAGGAGAGGAGTGAGAGTGAAGATCATCTAAAGTTCTCCTACCTGCTTTCACTGGCTGACTTGCTTGTGGGTCAGGCAATTGATGGATGTTTAGTTCGGTCATTACATCATCCTCTGGATTTGTCATGGCCCTTGACCCAAATGTATCCAGTCACATGAGTGAGATTCATTTAAGGCATTCCTAAGCAGCATCAAGTAATTGATTAACAGATGTGCAGGTTATGACATGGAATTCTTATTTGCATTCCTACCAACTTTAGTGTAAAGGAGTGAGATTCCATGAAATATGGTTCAAGTTGGTTTTAGTTTTTCATAACAGGGTTTCCCATGTAGCCCTGGCTGTCCTGGAACTCACTCTGTAGATCAGGCTGGCCTTGAACTCACAGAGATCCCCTTGCCTCTGCCTCTGGAGTGCTGGTATTAAAGGTGTGAGCCAACATGCCTGGCTTTTAAGTTGGTTTTAAAGGGTTAATTCCTTCTCCGATCTCTTTTATTTCATTAACTGTGAGAATAGGGGCATCAGAAATAATATGTCAGCTGAACTATGGACCGTTGAGAACTTCTCTGGTCTCCGGTAGAGCTGTGGCTATCTAATTTTCATGAAAGTTTTCCATGGCAACAAAAGAAAACCAAGCAGGCATACTCATCTCACTTGGGTGTGGGCCAAATAGAAGCAACCACAGTTCTCATCCATTTTCGTATTGGCATTGTTAGGATTCTTTTACAAACAACTGCTGTCTTCCGAGTGGGCCACTGTAGTTTTTTTCTAAAATCATTTAGGGCCCTTATTGTTGTTAAGTAAACGCAGGGATTTGGGGAAGATCAAAGGCATGACTCATTAGTCCCTCATCTGTGAAAAGTCCTGCCAATCTCACTGGCCTCTGAAGAGAATTGTTAGTCTCGTGGAAGAAAAATCACCCTCCCCAGAACTGGTAGAGGTTCAGGGAAGGAAGTAAACAAAAAGCAGCCCGCCCACTTCCTCGCTAGCCTCTTTGAACATCCTGTCTCTCCCTGCTTTACTAATCCACTTTGATTATATCATTATATTTTAATGGGCACAAGGCTGAATAATCGAGAAGGAAGGAACATTCAGCCGAGCAGGAAAGTCTGGCTATGCACCTGCCTGCAGCTTCCAACACACTCAGACATGGAACAGGGGCATCAAAACCATCGTTTGAGAGAGAGCGGTGCTTACAGCTAAGCTGGGTTGTAAAACCGTGGTGTAGATGCACATGTCAGACTTAAATTCTTGCATTTCATGCCCGTGCCTGCCTGAATCTTCAGGCACATTAAGGAGATTTGCAAATGTCAATGTGCTATTTTGCAATGAGAAGAATCAAGGAGTTCAAAGGCATAGAGTATATTTTCTTAACTGTTTGCACTACAGGACTCGACAACAGGCTAGACATCATGTGACTTTGACATATGCATTGCACTCAGATGCTTTTTTGTATCTATCTGCTTCCATTGTGGCCTGGTCAGTGAGGCTCCCAACCCATCTTTTGAAGTGTTGGGCACAGAGTGGAAGGAAACAGTATTGTGGTGTAATGGTTGACGTTATGTTTTAAGTTTTAAATTATTTTGTTTAAGAGATCTATGAGACAAAAATGCCTCTAACGTGTAAGCGCCAGCCACATGCCCAAGAATAGAAAGCTTCTAGAATGCTGGGGGCTATTCATGTAAGAGAACGAGCCCAATGTTTTCACTTTTGTGGACAAGTGTGGTTGCACCAATTGTTTAGGATACACTTGATCACAGGTAGGTGAGAGGTACGTTGCCAAGAAGTCCATCAGGGTGTATGCTTGTTTCTGATTGGACGAAAGTGGTAAGTTCATACCTTTGTGGGGTTTGCCTTTACAAGTCCCTGTCTAGTGTAATTTGATGGCATACTCTGGGAATCCCAAGTATGGACCTGGCCAAAGTCTATGGACCTGGCCAGTATTTAATAAAGCTTGCTTCAAGTTTGGCTCAAAAATTGTGATAGCGGTCTCATTCTCTGCCTGTGGGGTTAACAGTGGTTGTGGCAGAAATAAACCAAGATCATCCTTAGCCTAAATTAAAGATGAAGAATAGCTGCTTTGACTATACCGTGGCCACCTACATTCCCTGTCACTCTCCTCTCTTTTCTTCTCTGTTGTCATTCACACAGTGTGGGGCAAGGTCAATACTAAAACCCCACAGAGAAGGTTTCCTCAGCTGTACCCAAAGAACCACCATGGTGAGTTTTTCTAACTTAAAGTAAACCTTCAGGGGATGAGGATGTGGTTCAGTTGGTAGAGAGCCTGCCTAGCACACACCAAAGCTCTGAGTTTGTTCCCTAGCTCTGTATAAGCTGGTCATGTTGGCTCAAGGCTGCAGTTCCAGCAATCAGGAGGCAGGAGGCAGGAGGATCAGCTATCCTTGGTTAGACAGCAAGTTCAGGACCACCCTGGTACTACCAGAAACCTTGTCTCACAAATGCAATGAGGAAGGGAGGGAGAGAGGGAGAGAGGGAGGGTGGGAGGGAGGGAGGAAGGGAGAGAGGGAGAGAGGGAGAGAGAGAGAGAAACTATGCGACAGGTGTGTCTTGCCCAGTCCTAGGCGTATTCATGAGCGAGCAGTCCTCTTCTCCCCATCACACCATCACTAGCAACCGCTGCTGCCCGACACTTCAGAATAATGAAACGTTTTCCACCCAAATTAATTTTTAAAAACCCAAACTGCATGCAAACTCCATTCCCTGAGTCTTAAATTCAAACCATTCCACAGGAAACAAAATTATCCTTGTAGAGGACTCCAATTGATTGGACTTCAAAATTCAAAATTCAATTGTGGAAAATAAAACAGGTTATAAGGCACAAAAGCCTTTTCCAGTCCGCCCCGGCTCTGAAGCGCAAGCCAAACACCACGTGGTCACAGGTCAGTGCTTCCTGCGAAGAAATCCATTTCCCAAACAAACCTAGGGTAACCACACACGATGAGCAAAGCTGGAGCCTGATTGATGGCGGGCCCTACGCCATCACAGCCTCGGTGAGGAGGGGAAAGGTAACATTTGGGGGAGCGGCATTACCTGGGAAATGGCAATGATCTCCAGGGGAAACGACCCAATTTCAACTCATTCGCTCTTTGGTTTGAATCTGCTCAGCTCTTCTAAGTTTGTTCCATGTTGCTGCCTGGGCCCTTTGGACACGAGGCCCCTGGCATCCATCCCAACCGTCTCCTCTCCAGTGACTTTAAGAGGAGCTTAACACTCCCTCCCCACCCCAACCCCAGCTCCCACACACACCCCACACTCCCACACCCCCGCTTTACCAGGATGCTATTCAAGGGTGTCGGTATCTTGAATAGATTCTTTCTTTCTTTATTTTTTTTAACTTTATTTTATGTGCCTTGGTGTGAAGGTGTCAGAGCTCCTAGAACTGGAGTTACAGACAGTTGTGAGCTGCCATGTGGGTGCTGGGAATTGAACCCGGGCACTCTGGAAGAGCAGCCAGTGCTCCTAACCCCTGAGCCATCTCTCCAGCCCCTTGAACAAACTCTTAAGAAGTCAATTAATTGCATTAGTGACTTTTTTTACTTTATAGTGACAAAGCACTATAAAGAAAGAAAAGTTGGGCGGGTGAGGTGGCCCAGGAAAAGGTGCTTGAGCCAAACGTTATTACCTAAATTCAGTTCCCAGGACTCACGTGATAGAAGGAGAGACTCAATTTCTGCAAGCTGTCCTCTGACTGCTACAAAAGCTCTATACTACACATAAGCTCCTCCCCAATAGATAAATGCACACAAGTTGTTAAGGGGGTGGGGGGAACAGTTTGTTTTTGGCTTACAGTTTGAAGGTACCATCCATGCCACGGTAAGGCAAAGCCATAGGAGCTTAAGGCAGCTGGGCACACCATATCCACAGTCA